TATTCGAGTCTTTTTGCACTATTTTCTCCTCGCAAATTTCGCTTAGTGTGGCATACTAGGATACGCACTTTCATCGCATAGCTCCAACTCGAAAAGTTCCATTATTTATTTTTTTCCCTTATTCAAGACAGAAGCAGGTACCACCATCGTGCCTCTCCCATTCCGAGAAGAAATATACGGTTGAATTGTAAATCTTCGATACACAATCGAAAGTTTATTTCCATTCTCAAAGTTGGCAGCCATGAAAATATTCACATGAAATTCCTCGCCCACTCGTAAGCTCGCGGGTGTAAAAAGCGGGAAAGTGCAGCAATTGTTCGATTGAAGCTCTCTCGGAGGTGGTCGTTGAGCCGGGCACAAACCGTTGTTCCTTTGACGTAAGGGCGTATTCCTGTCTCCACGTGAGCCCTGAAAGCTTAACTTTATATGGGGAACAGAGCTCACGTTGACGTTGAGATAAACCCTCACGTTAAAGGAGCGACGAAACGACGTGTAGATTTACGACCCGTTTTAGTTCCTGTGTTCTCTCCGCGCGCAAGGTTTTGATTCGACACCGCTAGTTCCTAAACCAACTCACCGCAAAAGTGCCAACATTCAATGTGTACACGTCAAAGCGCAGTTATTTCTTGCTTAGTCCACACGGCAACGTTGTAAGTAAGACCTTGTCCAGAAAATGTCTCCCATTGGTCTTGCTCGATAACTTCATCCTCTCTTGAGTTCAGAGTGTTCACACTCAGTCTCTAACCTTTCCGACGTTGTTGAAGTGAAAGTTGATGGATGTTACCCATGATATGCTGCCGTGCTAAGGAAAGACGCCGTATGAACCTTTAAGCGTTGCCAAGTTTCCTTTGATAAAACACGGATTCCCTGGTAAACTTATATGAATATTCTCCTTCCGATTTTTCAGATAATTTGGTCCGCAATTTCACCTGAAAATCCCGAATATTTCAAGGAAAAACCACTCATAACCTTTCTCAAAAACAAACATTTTATCGTAGGAAATTTGGCAACTCTTGATTGTTCATACGGCGTTCCTACTTGGAACGGCAGTATGGAGGGGAAGAAGAAGTAACGCGATGGTCATTGTTGAAAATCAATTTTCCCACTGAAAAAAAAAAATCTCGGTGTATTTACTAAGAAAAGGGTAAAATTACCAAGAATTCAGAGTTCTATTTGATCCCAGTTTTTTCTTGGTAAAATTACCATTTCTGGAATTGATAATTTTACCGAGAAATCTCGGTAAAATGATTGAACTTTCTCGGTACTTTTACTGGACCTTGGTAAAAACGCCAATATTTTTTATCGACTGTGGTAGAATTACCGAGATGAAATGGCAAAGTTACCGGGAATTGATTACCAGTAAAAGTGGTATTTTTACCTGAAAAAACAGTAACAATACCGGTTTTTAGGTAAGCTTACCAGTCTGTCTTGGTAAAATTACCAATAATTGGTAAAAAAGTGAGATGATAAAGGTACCAACGGACCTTGGTAAAAACGCCGAGAATTTTTTTTCAGTGCCCGTCCGGACAAAGGGAGATCGTATCGATGATTAAAATCGAAAAATGCGTATCGTTCTGGCGTTGTAAGTATTGGATCATGTTTAATTTTTTTTAATAAATCCAACCGACAGTTTTTCTTAGATTTTTTTAAAGTACCCAATTTTGAAAGTCATTCCATCGGTTGTGACGAATGAAACATAATGGAAATGAAATGAATTATCTAGAGATTTTGCGCGGAAAAATAATTATTTTGAGTGCTTTTATGACAAATATTCTTGCAACATTTTTCTATAAAAATATCAAGTCCTCCGAATGTCCGTAATTCCATTCACAAGCTCGCAGGTCCAAGTAATTAATGAGGGGTAGAGCGAGCAATCTCATATCCACGTTCAGTATGAAATAGGGAACATTTAGAGCTGCTACCCTCAAAGGATGATGTTCATAATTCTCTGTCGCCTTTTTTGCTTTGCCGATTGATTTCACAGATACTGACGCTGACACAGGGTTCAAGCCTTCGCCTGAAGGACAGATGTAGTCAGAGGTCAGTGGCGTGGCGTGCTTTGCGATATATCGATTGCGTTGCCATTTAAACCTATGAAAAAGGATCGATAAACAGGGTGTTCGCAGCGAACACCTTAATAATCGATTCTTTACCATAGCTTCAAATGGCGAGGTATCGACAATCGATCATTCACGTCACGCTACTGTCAGAGGTCACGTTCTACCTCTGCCTATTCGAACAGTCAGAGTTAGAGGAGCAAAGCATCCTTTGCAATGAGTTCAGTCTTTCCGCCAATCCATTTTTTAACTTTAATCGGTAATTCCTCTGCCGATAACGTTGAAAGATTAAAATGGAAACAAAAACTTTTTCCCTCCATGGCGATTACTCGTTAGACTATTGAAATTTGAATAATGCAACGGAAACTTTGTTCAATGCGGATGACGAACATTTTGAAAGTGAAAATGAGTCCGTTGTGAATGTCATAGAATCGCATTTAATGGTCGGAGATTACAGAGGAGCAAATGATAAATATTAACTGAGATTTCGGTTCAGACTAGTTTATGGGTCTGAAATATTTTTAAAACCTATACGTCCAAGTCAATTTGATAGATGCACATTGTTCAAAAAAAGAAAAAAAAAGTACCAACATTTCGCAAAGAATCAACACTAAAGAGAGACATTGAAGGAAAATGGGATGAAACGAAACCATCAGACGCTCCTTCATTTACACAATTGATCATTTTTCAATTTTATCATCCAATTACGTTTGAATAGGTGAGCTGTGGTTCAATAACATAACCTGAGTAGCTTTGTGTACTGTTTCAGGATGACAGCAATGCGAAAATTGTTTTTGTTATAAAAAAGAAGAAAAAAAAGACGGTTGGAGGGTTTGAAAAGTAGAAAGGTAGTTGTCTAAGTGCCTTGAACCACGAGTTGATAATACAACGATTGGCTTTTACGACACGCCTTCCTTCATCGCTTTCGTTTCAACGGACTAAGAAGAGCAACGGTGGATTGAGGTTGTACTTTATAGTGACATGTAGGTTTTATATGACAGATGAACTCAGCTCAAAGTCTCATCACTCGCTGAATTGGCGTCTGATGCTATTGTTTCATAAGTGACAAAATATTAAAATTGAAACAAGGAAACAATCATTATGTCCACTCAATAATCATTGAATGGACATTACAGAAAGGAACGTTTTAAAGAGCTAGCAAAGAGTTGCGAACTTGGTGGAAAATGTGACGCGTTCTTTGAAGAATAATTCTTAATTGCCTCGTTAAGTGATTCCTAGTACTTAGTTACTCTACTAAGGATTCCACTCAGTGTAATTTGGGGTAAATTTTCTCCAAAAATTGTAAAAATTTGACCTTAATTGAGCTGTCTCTAATTTTAAAAAGGCTATCAAGCATTTAGAGAAATACTCTTACGGATAATCAAGGTTGTAGCTGGCCAAGGTATATTTCATACTTTTTTATCAAAAAATTAGAAACTATTAACAATTTTAACTGTTTTAACAATTTTAACTATTTTAACTATTTTAACTATTTAACAATTCATTTTAACGAGATCATTGTAATCACGTGTTAAAATACACTCTCCATCAGAAACTGATAGGTGATGACTTAGACATATTTACATTTTCTTGCGAAATTCATCTGCACCTGAAAGCGTTTTTTACGGAATACGTCACATTTCTTCGTATTAAAACGTACTCATTTTCCGACTTTATCGATTTATTTGATTAGCAACTGCTTGCTACCAATAAAATCCGAGAGAGACGCAATACACATTTCATCATGCTTTAATTTTTCTTTTTCATATATCTACGTCGCAATGAAACAACATGGCAAAGGGATGTGTCTCCTTTCGTTTTTGTTGATCAAATCCAATTATTTTAAATTTATAGTAATATCCATAACAGTTTTGTACCCCGGAAGCTTGGAAACATAAAAGTCTCGCTGAAAGCGGAAAGTACGAATGAAATCCAGCCAAAATGAGGTGTGTAACGTTGCAAAAACTATGGATGATTACTCATGAGTTGAAGTACATGACTAATTAACCTTATAATACCGGTGCTCTGTATGACCAAAATGTAACTTGCGCTCACTGCAGAATTAGTTTCATGAAAGAAAAAAAAGTTCAAGCATTAATATGAGGATTGAGCCTGAATGTAAGAATTCCTGCGTAATGGGTATGTAAATGTTCCTCACGGTTTCAAATTATCATGAAATCGTAATAATCTCACGTTTAACGTTAACAGATTAAATATATTCATTTACAGGAAGAACGTTGCGGGTAAGAAGTATTACATACGCATGTTTTCTGGAGAGGTAAATTAAACGACCATGTTGTTTCATTCTGATCGAGAATTATTGTAAGTATAGTTTTGCTTGTGAGGAAATGGGTAGTTGCAAGATCTTTTTTTTTTGGGGGGGGGGGGGGCTCAGGATAAAAAACCCACTATATCGCTAATGAGAGGACTCGACCTACGGCCAATCTAAACATTAGCTAGCATACATTTTCTTGCCAAACTCGGAAAATCCCGTCTCTGCCACTTTCTGACTTCCGTAAGTATTTTTCAATGAGCCCACAATTTCAGCTCTCTCTTGAAAATTTGTCCAAATTGTAACATTACTCGAGGGTCTTGAATGAGTACAAAGGAAAGCGAACATTTTAAACAGTGGCGTGGCGTGCTTTGCGATACATCGATTGATCTTGTCATTTAAACCTATGGAAAAGGATCGATAAACCGTATGTTCGCAGCGAACACTTTAATTGTCGATTCTTTACCACAGCTTCAAATGGGGAGATATCGATAATCGATCATTCATGCCTCGCCACTGGTTTAAAATGCGGAAAACTATTTCATTCCATCGATTTTCAATTATCTTTCTATTACTAGAAACAAGGCTTGATTAAAAACTTTCATTGGCTAAGCAAAAACCCATTGCCTTACAAGAGGAAAGTTTTCTGAGGTCATGTAAAGGGTTTATACCTGCGGTGCACAAGCGAGCATCCTCGTCGTAGGCGTCCGGGCAATCGGGAGCGCCGTCACAAAGATATTGTATCGAGATGCAGGTTCCGTCTCCTGGGCATTTGAACGGCTCGTATGGGTGGCATGCATCACCTGCAACAAACATGGCGCAAAATATTATTAGGAAGAATGAAAATAAAAAGAAATTTGGAATGAATTTGAACAAGATTCTTAGTTCTTTACCATCCCTCCCGACTCTGTGTGACGCTTTATTGGCAGCATAGAGCGGAGAGTGCGAGTTCACGCATACCGCGCCATCGCGCCTTCAATTTTGCAGACGCAACACGGTCATCCATCAAGCACGAATAGTTGTATCTCTGCGCCGTCATCAACGCGCAACCTTTCTCATGCTCTATGTCCATGTTCGTGTTGTTACCGTCTGTCTTGTATTATTTGTAGTGGTGCTTCAAGAGCTATGTGAGCAAGACAGTCAAAGATAGAAAAGACGTAATCGGGAGTAGTTCTTCAACTTTCCTCCCGAATCCGAGCAACAACTCATTCGCAAACTGCAGACTTAAAAATCAAATCCTTGAAGAATCATTAATTGAAAGCAAAAGTTTGGTTGTTTTCTTATCTTTAATTGTCCATGCGAAATGGATTTTGTTTGCATACCACATGTTATTTTCGTATGCTGCAGAATAGGTGCTTGGGTGTACTCATAGTTCGTTCGGTTAAGTCATATGAACGATTGTCTGAACGTGGATTTTCAAATCGTAATGACGCTTCTATATGAATATTAATTGTTACTGCTGAAGAAGGCTGAGGTATTTGTTCGTTGTCTTAAGGAGCGAGTAAGTATTGAGTGACATCCTTCGAGGAGAGAGGGTTTGAGGTTGCTTTTTCAGGTGTAAAAAATTTAAGCCCCGTGTCATTCAAGTATCCAAGTTTGAAAGTTTCACACCTACCTATTTACAGGAAAAAATATTATTGGACTATCCTCGCCGAAGAAAAAAAATGAAGGAGAGAGACTTTACGTAGATGATGGACGTTACGTCGTGCTGACTCAGCATTACGCTATCCACAAAAGAGCTTTGAAGATATGGAGGCATTACAAGGATAAGGAGGGAGCTCAAAAAACCGTGGAAAGTTATTTTAGTATGAATTAAAGAATGTGCCACTGTTCAGTTCAACGTAACGCTGACAGAATTGTAAAGGTCCTTCACTTTATCAGACAATAGGAAGGCCTCACTCTAGCCACCAGAGGGAGGGTACACGAGCAGATGGCACCCTTCAGGGCAAGGGCGCATAGCGACTCACGCCGTCAGATCCGTGGGGAGTTAGAAGGTTTTCTCGGGGCAGCCGGCTTGCTTTTTGGTGACAGCAGGCGAAGACCCTTCACTGCCGTCAGCAAGCAAGGGACCCACAGAAGCTGGAACGACGACAGGAGGTACATACCTGCCCCTGAGACTTCCATCGTCCTCGTTGAGAGAAGGAACGTACAACAAAGTGTGAGAGGGCCGGAAGTATGCGGCAGTAATGTGGATGATGCGGCAAGACCTGCGACTCCAGACTTGACGCTGTACGGTTTGGAGCCAGATCTTAAGAAGATTCCGATGGCGACCAGAGTGGACGCGGAAATCGAGGCAAGGAAGGCTGGCAACATCAAGCCTCAAGGTATCTTCTTTGTAAAGCTCAAGGTAAAAGGTGGCTGCTCGTACACGGAGGATATACGGACCCTTCGCCCATGGCTCAAACTGCTGAGGCCGAAAAT